AAATCAAGGACGAATGGTAGACTTATAAATGTTTAAAATAGATTCTTTCGAGAAAGATTGTCTAGAGCGACAGTGTGAACTTTACTATCAGCAGACCTGGTTCTGTGATGCCAACGAACACTCGTTGCCACTTTCGTAATGCTCGCTGTAGTAGAGGCTTTGTAATCGTAGATACAACTATAGTAACGCCGTTGAACAATACTGGTGTCAGACGCCTTCGAATGTCACTCGCGCTAATAGTACTTGTTCTATAATACTCGCTCGAATAGTAATCTGTATAGCGATCTGAATAGAGAAATAGTATAGTGAATAGAGTAGAGAATAGCGTTCCGTATAATAATAGAGGATAGAATAGAAATGGCGATCCTTTAGACGTCAGGCGACTTCCTACTTATGCGTTTCCTCTATGGTCACGTGGTTTTCTTAATTCAATAATGGGATCGCCCGTGTTTGCTCACGGGCGATCTATGTTCAAACTCAAGTGTCGGCAGAGACACTTTATTCCTATATAACACCTGGCTAGATTGATTCAATATAATCGTGCCACTTCATGTCATCATCATGTTGCGCTATATCCTCACCTGCGGTAGACTGCGAACCCACGTGACCTTTTTTTTTAAAGTTTCAGTCATTAGGAGATTGTCATATCGGTACATACCCGTAGGTGCTCAGGTGATAGATTTTCTTCTTTTCCTTTTTTTTTTTTTTGTTGTTGTTGTTCTCTGAATTACGTCCTCTTCCTATAACGCCTATTGGGAGACAGGTCCCCTCAAGACCTCAAGTGGAAGTCATATATACGATCCATCGCTTAAGAAACTGGGAAAATAATCAGTTCCTTTTACCACTCTAGAAAGTACCAGATCCCTCCTGATATGCACTAAATTTACAAGAGCTGGATCAGGCCAACAATGAGAATGTGAAATCGGAGATCCGAGTTCAAATTCCATTCGAGTTCGCTGCTTTAACTTACGCGCAGATACCGCTGAGAAGGTATGGAGTCATCTTTTCTCTGTCCTGGGTATGACGATAAACTACGTCCAACAGCAAGGCCTCTGATCAGGAGGGTTTGAGGAGTGTGGACCCACCTCTTAATTGCTGGTGTTCCCAGGTCCACCTTGACCTGTTAGGGTCTCAGTTATGGGCAAATAGTTAACCCCCAAACTGAGGTCAAAACACTATGAAAGTGTAAAAATAGATTTTAATACCAGAATTACTTTTTTTTTAAAATTATTGCCAGCAATACATTTTTGAAGAAAAAAATATTACCAAAAATAGATTTATGAAGGAAATAAATATTACCAGTAACAAAAATTTTGTTAGCATTAAATAACCCATTGAGGTTGATATGCCGTAAAACAAACCAAACCAAACTATCGCTATGAATCTATTTCAATGTTTTGTTGGCATTAAATGACCCATTGAGGTTTTGATATGCCATAAAACAAAATAAACTAAACCAATCTAAACCAAAGAATACATAATTTATTCATACGAATTTATCCTAAAAATGTTGTCGGCATTAAATAACCCATTGAGGTTTTGATACGCCATAAAACAAAATAAACTAAACCAATCTAAACCAAAGAATAGATATTTTATTCATACGAATTTATCCTAAAAATGTTGTCATCATTAAATAACCCATTGAGGTTGAGATGCCATAAAACAAAATAAAATAAACTAAAAAATCATCTTTTCTCTCCCCAGTTATGGTTTTAATAGCAGGACTTGTATCTGAAAAATTAATTGTTATCTACTAAAAATCAATTCAATATTCACTCGCAAAAATCCCAAAGATACTGGATTGCTGAAATTGTACTGTACTGACGCCATATATGAACCAAGGTTTCCCTGTCCTAAATTTCCAGCCTTTAAAGAGTTCAAAAGCGTATACGCGGCCTTGTGAGTGATGAATTATTTTCCACTCTACAACCACTTTCACACACGAAATGTCGCAAGCCTTTAGTTACTCTATCGCTATTCCCATGACAAAAGTTGTTCCGCTAGTTCAGACCTTCACAGTTAAAACCCTCCATGCCGCCTGCACTGGGAAGAATCGTTCACATTCCCTTCGTATTCCATTAGTAAGGGGGAAGTTCCTTTCGATCATCTTCTTCCCAATTTTAACCTCTTCAAATATTGAGCCAGCCGTTATCTATCCTACATATCCTCATAAACTGCACTTCTTACCTCCTCCTCTTACGTTCTTTCCAACTCATTCAGTAATGCTCTACCTTGAGTGGCTCTTGGGCTTTGGACTGGGTGAACATTTAGTAAAAAGAAATTGTTAAATTTCCATTAGGAATTTAACAATTCTTGTGACGACGTGCTATTTTACAGCTAGCCAGTGTTCCTCGCTTGACTTAGGTCAACCGATGGTAAAGGCATTTCCCAACATGCCGAGAATGAACGGGCGATATTATCAAAATGTCTTCATCCTGACTAATCGACCGTGGTAAGATACGAAACTGGTCTCCTAGTAGAACCGATAACGCCCTAACCAACCGGTCACGAGTCCAAAGCTGATTTACTATTAAAACCGTATAGGAAACCACTACTTTTCTACCAACACTTATACTAATCAAAATACTACTAATCGAGGCACAAATTTAGATTTGTTTTTTAAGGCTTAACACTTTATTGGTTATCTAAAGCTGAAACATTTGGGGACAGGAGAGGGGGGGCGAGTAAATGTATTAACAATTTTTAGGAGATAACAACTTTCCAGATACAATTCCTACAAATAAAACACAAAGTTTGTGGGGGGGAAGAAGTGGTGGATTCATACCTTTCTCAAAGCTATTTGCGCGTAAATAAATGTAACGAACTCAACAGGAATTCGAACTCGGGTCTCCGATTTCTCATTCCGAGCCACTATCCATTACACTAACCGCACATCCTCGCGACAAATAGAGCTCAGTTTCTTGCGCAGAAAAATACGGATTAAAATACTATTGTGGTCAGATTGAACAAAATTCAACCTATTTCGGGTACATACGATGAATCTAATGTCATCCTGGTGAGGCATAAATTGAAAGGCTTTTGATATCAGAAGTTAAATATGATTGATGGAAAATTTTTGATCAGTGGTTGTATGAGCATCACGCAGTATTTCATAGGCAGAGCCATAAATGATAAACTCTTTGCTGCAATATATTTAAAAAAAAAAAAGAAAAAAAGATATATTGCTTTCACTCAAGCGCTTTTTTGTTGTTATCACATCCTTTTAACCGTTGTGTCTCCTGCCTTCATTAGGGGCTTGTCGATACAGATAACCTTCAAGGAATTTCGAATTGAACACTTTATTAAATTACAGGGGTAGGTTGTTCTTATTCCACTCATTGTCCATATCTAGGAGTATCTCGTTTTGTTCTTTTTTAATACTGCTCAGTTATTAGAAAGAAAAAGTCTTGCACTGAGCAGTTTCACAAGAAACCGAATAGGCAGCAGATCTAGAATCCTTGACGTGGTTTTGGAAAGTCTTTTTGGAGAAAGGAACCGAAGGAATATGATATGTGCAGCGGAAAAGAAGAGTGTATGAACAATTTTTATTAAGTACTCTATTGATAGAAAAGTTGATTCGCCACTGTGCAGGCTGAGTATGTAAGCTACCGAAAGTGTACAAGATATTGTCAATAGCTGCGCTCAGCCGGCACAAAAAAATAAAGACGAAAACATGACAAAGTATCTCCCAGAATGCATTGGAAACTATGTAGGAAGTGGTATGAGCATTCACTACCGTCAGCAACGTAGAATGAGCAAAGTGAAGCTGACGTGAGATACGGCCACCTTGATTGACAAGTGTTTGGAGAGAAATCGCTCTGATTCCACACTTGTGCTCCAGATCGTTCATGAATGGATCCTGACAAATGCTGCGGTATCCTGGGATACGAACATCGTGAAGGCAGAGCCAGCGAAAATACGGCGCTGCCAAGACCTGGCTGAGCAAATCAAAGGAATATACAACGCAGTAACAAAAGTTGTTCCCTTTTGTAGTTGGCGCACTAGGGACTATTTCCGGGAACTTTTTTGCCCCGAAAGATGCCTGGGGGATATCATTGGGATTGGTTGGATTGCATCACTGCTTGGAACAGCTCATGTGTTGAAGGAAGTGTTGTGTCTCTAAGCTTCGGGTGAGTGCTGAGATATGATCATCAACACCTGGCTGAAATATGTTAGAGTTTAGCAGTGTTGACAACTAGGTTTATCCATAATCTCACACTTCTGCTCTTTTCTTAACCTTTGCCTGTATCTTCTCAGTCTCTCCCTTATCCCTTCCAATATCTATTACCCGTCCGTGTTTTTGTCATAAAACCATGGATTAAATTCATATGCAAAAAAGGAATAAGGAATGGACAAATAGTTTTGTATCCTCTCTTTTATCTTTCTCTTGTTCTATCTGTCGATAAAAAACGTTATTGTATCATTATTTTGACATCTTATTTGTCTCTACATGCCGTTCAAACTTTCGTGCATTGCCTCTTGTTGTCTATCTACCAATCCTAGCTCTCTACTTCTTTCACCGTCATCTTTTCCAATCCATGTATATATATATATATATATATATATATATATATATATATATATATATTATTTATTTATTTAAAATATGATTCCAAATCGCGACATAAGAAGTCCCATCTTTCAAAACAAGAGCCGAAAACTTCAATATAATTATTTAAATTAAATTGAGTTAAAATAAGTTAAAATAAGCTCTGTTCCATCTTCAAGCGAAATTTTTTTTATGCTCTACTTTTGTATCGAGCACTATTTTTTAAAAATAATAACTAAAATACTAAGGGACTTTGGATTATTTACCTAACCAGTTCCTTCCTATTTTCTATATATTTTCACACACACACATATATATATATATATATATGTGTGTGTGTGTGTGTGTGTGTGTGTGTGTGTAACATATTCAGTTGTAAGGATATGACTTTGTGAGCCTTGGTTTCACGCTTTTGCGATCATCAGAGATTGTCTAATGATCACAAAAGCGTGAAACTTCATTATCTATCTATCTATCTATCTATCTATCTATCTATCTATCTATCTATCTCAGTCGGTTTTTATCTATTTCAGTGTGTTTCTATCTATCTATTTATCTATCTATATATCTATCAATCGATCGACCGAACTACTATCTTGCTAGCTCATTCGTTTCACTATCTATCTATCTATCTATCTATCTATCTATCTAAGTCGGATATTATCTATCTATTTCAGTGTGTTTATGTCTTAATTTTGATTAATCTATCAATCTTACTCTCTCTCTCTCTCTCTCTCTCTCTCTCTCTCGGTTTCTATCTATCTGATTTCAGTGTGTTTATATCTATCTATCTTTCTTTCTAGCTCATTCGCTTCATAATCTGTTTATCTATCTATTCATCTATCTATTTCACTATGTTTATATCTATCTATCTATTTATCTATGTAGCTATCTCTGTTTATATATATATCTATCTATTTACCTCAGTTGGTTTATATCTATCAGTTGGTTTATATATATATATATATATATATATATATATATATATATATATATATATATATATATATATATATTCCTTTCACCGTTTTCTTTTTCGATTTTTTCTCTTCAAGTCTTTATTATTTTCCCTATACTCTTCCTAAATCTTTCCCTCTTTATTTATTATTTAAGGTTCACCGTCAAAAAGTGTATTTGATTTCGTTCTGATTTCGGCCCAGAAGGGTTAGAGAGCATACAGGTTCTACGCCCTGATTTGTTGGGTATTACCCCCTCGCTCAATGAACTATTCCAGTAAAAGTTACTGGAGGTTGCTATAAGAATAATATATATAAAAAAAAAACTTAAAAGACAATTCCTAGATTATTCTTGTCCTGTCCCGGGGGTGGCGTGGGGCAGTAACTTTCATACGCGGGAAGGATAGCTTTATTCCTACGCTCTTGAGCTGTTCCCAAAAGGGGTAGTTGTGGGTGAAACTGGACTATTTTTAGTTTTTGATCACTGGTACCCGTGGGACTCTCACTTTAAACACGGCCTTGTATTACACTAAGTTCAAGCAAGCGTACGGTTAAATGCTTCTTGGTCCCTGGGAGAGATGGTTACTCTCGTGAGAACTATGGAAAGCAGATACCGAGAATCCACGAGATTTGCAACAAAGTGCTATACAACATTAGCGACGAGGAACACCAACTATTCTACAGGAGTAAAGGTCTTTAGTCTTAGGTGTCTAACAGACAGGAGAGGGGGAAATTTTTTTTCTGAGGAAATTTTTCGACCCCCCCCGAATATATCCAGTTTATTAAATTAGCACTTTTTTACCCTTTAAATAATTTTTCGGCCACCATTTTATTAAGAAAATCCCGTTTATTGCATAGCTTGAAAAATTCAGAGTCCCTGATTATTAAGACCTCAACTTTATATTAGACACTTAAAAGTCTTCTTCTATGCGCCGTGTCCATTCAAGACGTGTGTGATCAAAGCTCTCCACAACATCCTATTCCTTGTAGCTCTTACCAACAGTTCTCTCTTTGCCAAGTTTCCCACCTCCTGCTATCGTTGCCCATTCACACAAGCTTGTCAGATAGATGATCCGCAGCCTTTCTCTGTCCCTGTTACACTTCCAATAAAGCAACAGTGGAACACAGCAAATCCCAGGTAGAAAAGCATAATCGTAAAATACATAAAGAATTAGAATAACAGTGCAAATAATGAATGGAATATTTGAAGTCTGTAAATTTCTGTATCTAGATAAAGACCTATAAACATGGTTGATTCGTTTTTTACGGCTTATCAACCCTTTTCAGGTTATTTAAAGCCAGAGAATATGTTTAGATTGTAAGAATTTTGTTTTGAAATAATAATGGTCTAGTGATGCAAATTTTACTAATTAATCTATAGCTGGGGGAGAAGTGGCTACATACCTTTCCCAAGGGCATCTGTGTGTAAATGAATATAGCGAACGCAACGGGAATTGGAAATCAGCTCCCCAATAACTAATTCTGAACTATTATCCATTACACCATCCGCACACCCAAGCTTATAGCACTCGATATTCCCAAGCTGTCACCCATCTAGTTATTAACCAGGCTCGATTTTTCTTAACTCTTGGAGACCTGCGTTCTTTAACCATTCTGCCTGAGCTCTTGAGTCAAAATTTGCAAATAATTGGTATATAATGTTTCATGGTAGATATAAAAAAATAATTAACAAGTGTTTACCCACCGTTCATCCAGTGGTTGGGCATTAAATCATTTGTCTCTACCACCGGTAAAGCAGGGGTCAGGGCTCAAAGGTTAAGTTCAGCGATTGAACGGGAACCAATGATGTAGCCGTAAGAGGTATAAATATAAAGAAGAGATACAACGATAATGGTAATAAAAAAACAAAAAACTCTGCTCGCTTTTGTAAATCGCCAATAGCACGGTCCCAGCTATGTGCAAATAGTTAACCCCCAAACTGGGGTCAAAACACTATAAAAGTATAAAAATAGATTTTTATAGTAAGAATACCAGCAATACATTTTTGAAAAAAAGAGAAATATTACTAGCAATACATATTTAAAAAAAAAAATTACCAGCAATACATTTGACTCTCGACAAATACCCTCTTTACAAAAATATATCAATAAAACCTGATCTACAAACTGATTTCTTACAAAGAATACATGCGAACCTATCCTAAAACACTTGTCGGCATTAAATAACCCATTGAGTTTACCGTCCTGGGTATGACGATAAACTACATCCGCGTCCTGAGTGAGACGATAAACTACGTCCAACAGCAAGGCCTCTGATCAGGGGGTTTTGAGGAGCGTGGAACCACCTCTTAATTGCTGGCGTTCCCAGGTCCACCTTGACCCGGGGTGGTAGCACCTGTTGGGGTTCCAGCTATAGGCAAATAGTTGACACTCAAACTTATGTAAAAATAGGTTTTAATACCAGAAATACTTTGTAATAAAAAAAATATTACCAGCAATAATTTTTGAAGGAAAATTTATTATCAGTAATACTTTTAAAAAAAGTACTAGCAAAACAAACAGTTATACATTTTTTGAAAAAATATTACCAGCTATAGATTTCTTTATTTACATTATTCGGACTATTGTCCTCATCTTTGTCGCCATATTTATTACAACGTTTCGGCCGAAACGTTGTAATAAATATGTCGACAAAGATGAGGACAATAGTCTGTTAATGTAAATAATGTACATAATACCTCATCTCAGAAATATAGACCGACTATATAGATTTGTTCAAGGAAAAATATTCCCAGAAATAGATCTTTGAAGAAAAACATATTACCAGTAATAAAAATTTTGTCGGCATTAAATAACCCTTTGAGGTTGATATGCCGTAAAACAGACCAAACCAAACCATACCGTAAAATAAAATAAACTAAACCGAACCATATTTAAACAATGAACGTAAAATATATTTGATATATCAGAAAGTTCAACACCAATTAGAATGTACTGACCAGTGATACATTTAAAAAAATATATATTACCAGCAATACATTTTTGTAAAAGAAATTACTAATGCTCCCAGGAAAATTAAATTTTGGCATAAATGACCCATAAGGTGTTGATATGCCGCTAAACAAACAAACGAATCAATTCTAAAATTCTTGTTGGCATTAAATAACCCATTGAGGTGTTGATATGCCATAAAACAAAAACTCAACACCCAAAACAAACTAAATGAGAATGTCGATAAAACCTATTTTTCTACAGACTGTATATCTGAAAAGAATACATCAATGAAACAAGACTCAACAAAAACCCTCTTTACAAAAATATATCAATGAAATCTGATCTATAAACTCATTTCTTACAAAGAATATATATTCTATTCAAATGAACCTATCCTAAAAATCTTGTCAGCATTAAATAACCCATTGAGGTGTTGATATGCCATAAAACAAAATAAACCAAACCAAAGATTGTTCCAAAAAAGAAATTCTTCTCTATTGTTTTAAGTACAGACCAGATAACCTCAGTAATGCTTAATTTTATTATGAATAGCATTATAATAATAATAATAATAATAATAATAATAATAATAATAATAATAATAATCGTAATATCTGACAGTGACACAGAAAATACTAAAAGCATCTGAAGGAAGTAGAGGTTAAATTCTCCAGAGAATGTTTATTAGGTGAACAGATTTAACAAATATAATAATTCAAAATGTTGATGATTTAACACTTATATATGTCCCGTGAATGCCAAGTTGTACAAAGAATGTAGAATAGTTATAATTCTCTACCAGTAAACTGTTAGCCGAGTCTTTGTGAAAGAAAGTAATGGTTATTCACAGGGTTATTAATGAATAAATATGGCCAAGTGGTTAGACTACAACCACTTCTATGCACCACTGGCGAATCTTATATGTGTTGTTCTTGTTTTAAGTATTATCATTCATTACCAACCTTTGTATGATTATTCTATTCAGTAACTTTCCCTAGGCTACAGCAGTAAAAGAAATTACTAATGTTCCCAAGAAAATTAAATTTTGGCATTAAAGGACCCATAAGAAGTGATATGCTGCTAAACAAACAAATGAATCTATAAAAATCTTCTTGGCATTAAATAACCCATTGAGGTGTTGATATGCCATAAAACAAAAACTCAACAGCCAAAAATATAAACTAAATGAGAATGTCGATAAAACCAATTTCTCTACAGACTGTATATCTGAATAGAATACATCAATGAAACAAGACTCATGATAAAAACCCTCTTTTCAAAAATATATCAATGAAATCTGATCTAATTTTTGCATCAAATCATTCACAATAACTTTTCCATATAAATGACTTACAACATAATTGCAATATATTTCTTTAGTAATTCATTTTGCCTGCAAACATTAACAAAGTATTTCCAATGGCAACTGGTTTCTGATAGAGTTAACGAAGAATCCGTTTGTGAATCAAGGACAATCGGTGAATGTTCGTTTTTTGTACATTCTATTGTAAAACGTAATTCTTAACCATATTATTGAAGAAAACAAAAATAAAAAGAATGCTAATAATGGATGATTGGATCGCTAATTTAAAAAAAAAAAGGGATTACAGGACAAAACTAGATTTTCAAAATCAGATAACCTTGGAACTAAATATAGAGAAGAGACGAGATTCCATTGTCTTAAAATAGGAATGATATTAAATTAGAGTTATCAAAGAGATTTTTTTGTTGATCTGTCAAAGTCGGAATCATCTAAGAGTCCGTGAGTATCCTGAATATTTGGTTGACAACAAAGCATGATTGGGAGATTTGGTTCTTCCATCTAAAAAGACAAGCAAGGTGACTACACTTTCGTGGGACGAAATAAACGCCTTGATCATTAACATTTTCCCGTTAGTTTTATTTTGTACTGTACTATCTGCCTATATATCTATCTCGGTTTTTTTCTATCTATCTATCTATCTATCTATCTATCTATCTATCTATCTATCTATCTATCTGTCTGTCTGTCCATCTATCTCAGTCGGTTTTTATCTATCTATTTCAGTGTGTTTATATATATCTATCTATCAATCTATCTATTGATCGATCTATCTATCTTGCTAGTTCATTCGGTTCATTATCTATCTATCTATCTATCTATCTATCTCAGTCGATTTCTATCTATCTATTTCAGTGTTTATATCTATCTATCTATCTATCTATCTTGCTAGCTCATTCGGTTCATTATCTATCTATTTATCTATCTATTTCAGTATGTTTATACCTATCTATCTATCTCTCTCTATCTATCTATCTATCTCAATTGGTTTATATCTATCTATCTACCAGTCGGTTTATAACATATATATATATATATATATATATATATATATATATATATGTGTGTGTGTGTGTGTGTGTGTGTGTGTGTGTGTGTGTATATATAAAGCGGTAATCATACAATGAAGCAATTAAGAATATTAATGCAGTTAATGGTGAATTCGCTTTGCTAGCAGACTTAATATAAGCATTAACTTACTAACAATCCATTGAATGACGCGATCATTTTGTATAAAATTGTTGTCAGATGGATATGGTTTATTCTTTAGAGCAGCGAGTACTTTCGAAAATTTCATGTTCTCATCGTCAAATCCATCTGACAGAAATTTTATACATAAGGATCGATTCATTCAATGGATTGTTAGTAAGTTAATGCTTATATTAAATCTGTTAGCGAAGAGAATTCGACATTAATTACATTAATATTGCTAATTGCTTCATTGTGTGATTACCGCTTTACAATATTATGTATATGCTGCCTAATATAATACGTATATATATGTGTGTGTGTGTGTGTGTGTGTGTGTGTGTGTGTGTGCGCGCGTGTGTGTGTGATTGAATAAATTACAGACATTATGTCTGCTAATTTTTAATAAAATCCGTTCATACTCACGAATAACCTTCCGTGTATTGATGTTAAAGGAAGAGAGAAATGTGTTATAGCTGTTTAAATTTTCATTTCCAAGTAACTTCGAGCTTTTCCAAAACCATCTTCAGGGGTCCAAGTGGTACAAAACTATATTTTGGTATATGTTAGTTACTTGATAAATGAAAATAAAAGAAATTTAAACAGCTATAGCACATTTCTCTCATCCTTTAACATCAATAAATGGAAGGTTATTCGTGAATATGAACGGATTTTATTAAAAATTAGCAGGCGTAATATCTGTAATTCATTCAATCAGACATGTCTAAGAGAGATTTTTGCTGCCTAAATACACAAATTTTATATATATGTGTGTGTGTGTGTGAGTTTCTATCTATCTATCCTAATTTGTTCATGTATATGTGTGTATCTATGTCAGTCGGTTCCTACGTATTACAAGCTTGATTTTGTGTAGCGTCCTCTGTCAATATTTCGACTTGAAAACGTACGACATGCGATATGAATAAGCCTTTCTGTTTGTCCGGATTTGTCTGTCTTTCCAGCAGTACATCTATTATAGCTAGGCTGTAAAAGTCGAGTCTTAAGACAGTAAATCGTTCTATATTGAGTAAATCACATGCAACGTGCGTCAGTACTTAATCTTTACAACGACAGAAAAATTCGAAGAGTGAGTGAAAAAGAATCAAATAATTCTAGGTTAATTGAGTTGCATTGATCTCGGGGGGAATAAATAAATCGTATTATCTATATATATATATATATATATATATATATATATATATATATATATGCGGAACATGGTACTCAGAACAACAACAAAAAACCGAATAAGTAGTAAAGAAGAAAGGCAAAGGTACTAATCGAGCGGAAATGTTATCCAATTTTAGAAGCGTTCACATTTCCTGTTTACTTCATAAATTGTGATCGCTTTGATGATGAATACAAATAAACTCTACATTATTTAGACTCGATCTGATTGTTTCTCAGACAACTCTTTGCATCCGCTTGTATGTATAGCATGAACAGATAAAGCGGGAATGAGGCGTTAAATGTGACATTCAAAAGGAAAACTGTGATAGAATAAACTTTTCATTGATCTATCTATCTATCTATCTATCTATCTATCGATCTATCTTTCTTTCTTTCTTTCTATCAATCCATTTTCCTATCTGTCTATATAAATCTGTTCATATCTATCTATCTAAATCACTTTCTATATATTTAAATCTGTTCATATCTATCTCCCCTTTCTCTCTCTTTTTCTCTCTCTTTCTCATCATATATATATATATATATATATATATAATCTGTTCATATGTATCTACCTAAATCTATCTAAATATTTTAATATCTATCTATTTATCTGAATCTCTTCCTATCTATCTATCTTTCTAAATCATTTCATATCTATCTTTTTTACTGTCAATCTATCTAAATATTTTCCTATCTATCTTTATATATATACTAGCAGTAGAGCGTTGCCCGGGGATGTAACAGTAAGAGATAGATCAAGTATCGACCATCATAAAGACTGAAAAATAAAATTGACAAAGATTATTGTTTAAGGTTGATGAACACGCATGTCTTAATTAGTTTTTTTTTTTTTTTTAACGAATTGGTCAAACTCAAACAAAAACATTGTTTTCAATCGTTATGAGTCTACCGATTGAATAGAATTGTATTATAAACAATTGTCTTGTAAATGGAATTTTTAAAGCATTCTGAATGTAAAAATAAAGAAAAAAGTGTGCAAGACAATAAGAAACACTACCTGCCAAAAAAAGTGAAGTTTTGTAGAAATCAGTTGAAAAATGTAGGAAATCCGATCCCATATATAAACAAACACACACACACACAAACAACCTGGGTTTTATAAGTATAACTCGATATGAGTTGTCCCCCTTTCATTCTGGCGAGTGATGCCTCTTAATCATGTTTTCAAATTGATTTTGTGCAAAAAAAATTGTGTTTTGCCAATTTTTGGCGCTGTCAGAACCACCGCAAGGTATTTTTATGTAGTCCTGTGAAGTTTTGTTGAAATCGGTTGAAAAATGTAGGAAATCTAATCCAATATGTAAACGTACAGACACACACACACACACAATCTGCGTTTTATAATAAGTAATATATATATAAAGCTGTTCATATCTATCTCCCTAAATCTATCTAAATATTTTCATATATATCTATTTATCTAAATCCTTTCCTATCTATCTATCTAAATCTTTTCATATCTACCTATCTATTAAATCTGTTCATATCTATCTTTGTTTCTATCAATTTATCTATGTTCTATCTAAATCTATTCATATTTATTTTAATTTCTTTCTATCGGAATCTGTTCCTATCCGTCTCTCTATCCATTCTCTCCCTCTCTCTCTCTGTATATATATATATATATATATATATATATATATATATATATATTAATAATTATCTAATTCTGTTCCTATCTTTCTATCTAAATATTTTCATATCTATCTATTTATCTATCTAAATCTGTTCCTATCTATCTCTTTCGATATATATATATATATATATATATATATATATATATATATATATATATATCAACTAGTTCATATCTATTTATCTCCTACTAATAAGCACAGCACTACCATTTTAATTTTCTTTAAAACCAAACATCCCAGGATTTTATTATTTCTACTGGAATATTGCTCAAGAAAACTGACGTTGCCCAGTATTATTTATGACCCGAATCTGCAACAATCAATCTCTTGCCAAAAATATGAATGTTTCGCCGTTCACAAACTATTACACCCCTATCGAAATACTTCATTTAAAACCAATATTTGGCGGAGGAATAGACTTTCTTTTCTATTAGTGCTTGTAATTTGTACGACATTGACTTTATTACCTTTGCGCAGTTTTTGAATTCTTTATCCATTACGACAGTATGTATTATTCCCACTTACCTGATAGTCATTATGCCATCTTTCGTTTCACTACATTCCCCAAATGTTGAATTGGTTTTAAGCCCGGTGACATACTTGGAAACTACAAGAACTCCTACAGATGGTAGTGAAGGAAAGCGAGAAGAAAGGACTAAGCCTCAATTGTAAGAAAACGGTATGCATGGTTGTTAGCAAAAGGAACAACCTAACATGCAAATTACAAATTGGAGATACCAAAATCAAGCACGAACAACAATTTAACTGGGAAGTGTTTTAGCAGAGGACGGAAAGTGTGACACTGAAATCCGAAAGCACACTGGGATAACGAAAGATGTTTTACCAAAGCTAAGCAAAATATTAACAAACAGGAAAATTTCGCTAGAAGCAAAGAAAAGAGCACTGAACTGTTACATGGCACTAGTCCTCCTATAAAGTAGTGAATATTGGACACTCTCTTCAGAGATGAAGAAGAGACTTGAAGCAATAGAAATAGGATTCTACAGAAGTAGTACCATGGACCAAACATTTGAGCAACGACAAAGTTTTAGGAAAGTGGGATTAGAATATTTGATATTACCCGGACATATTGAAAGCAAGATTGACAGAGGAAAACAATGTGTAACTATCTAACAAGATTGAATAAGTCGACGGCGGAAAGATAACAAAACGATAAAAATTTATTAAGAGCTACAAAAGACAAGAAATTGTGGAGAGCCATGATCGACAATATAGTGAAGGGACACGGTACATACAAGTAGAAGACATGTGTGGGCAGTGGAGAAGTTTTACTTTTTGTTTCTTCAGAAACTATTTTTAGCGGAGTATTTTAGGCAAATATGTAAATAATGCAAATAATGATAACACCTCATCTAAGACATTCAGACGAATATATATATATATATATATATATATATATATATATATATATATATATATATATACATATATACACTTTGTATATATATATATATATATATATATAAACAAACTGTATTTCTGAATAAAATATTTTAGTACCATCATGGTTTCCCACCCGAAGAAAAGTTAATTTAACTTTGAAACAAGACGTACAGTTTTGTCGTGGGTATGAACATGTTCTAATGTAACAGTGCATAATATATATATATATATATATATATATATATATATATATATATATATGAATGAAGAAATATAGTTTTAAGGAGTCCTATATTTATGGGATAAAGTGCTCAATATCAGAGATAGAGCATATGTAAATATAAATATAAAAGTGAACATTGAAGTCAACACTCAGAGGCGATACCCTGTTTCATGCTGGACGCAAACGTCAAGCTGGATGATTGCGTCCAACATGAAACAGCCTGTCGCCTCTGAGTGTTGACTTCAATGTTCACTTATATATATATATATATATATATATATATATATATATATATATATATATAATTCTATATATATTCTATATATGTCCGGTGCTTATTGGAAAGCTCTCAATCTCAGTGATAGAGCTAACCTATTTAGTTGAATGCATATGTTTCAGTTTGTGAAACCGTCTGTTTCACGCTTATAATATATATATATATATATATATATATATATATATATATATATATATATATATATATATATATTAACCGGAATCACTCCCAGCAAGACAGTAATGCCACTAAAACACAAGGGGTTACAGGGTGTGGAAGAATTAAGAACAGAAACAATAATGATGAACAGAAAGAGAGAGTAATCAGGCGGACAGTAGATAGCGATTGACACTGCAATTATTAATATTTGCAGAAAACCTTTGTACCAAAATTTGTATCAATTAAAACGCGTAATGGCCTGGAGAATCTGATACTCACACGTCGAACAGAGAGAAAGAGAGACAAGGGAAAATAACGTATGACATACCTAGCGGGCTTAAGCAAGTGGATGACAGAAAGTAGTTTGGGGGAGAGACGAGACTCGTTGAGAGCTACAAGGGATAGTGGTAAGTGGAGTGCCATGATCGCCTACGTCCTGAAGGGACACAGGACATAAACAGAAAAGATGTAAATATTGTCAACTTTATCTTGCAATAAGCAAAATTATCTACTTCTTTAACAGAGTAATACATAATGTTTCATATAATATGTAAACGTGTACATCTAAGCTAATAATTAGGTAGATAGATATGAACAGAATTATGGTTTAAACTGTCGCGGCGTTGTAAAAAAAAAAAAAAAAAATAAAATAGGCCGTTCTAAAAAATAGAAATCTTTCAGTTGAAATTAAATTGTAAATAGGATATAAAACACACATGGGAGAGAGAGAAAAAAAAATGGAAATAGTTATAAAGTTGAAAGTTAAAAATAGAACAAACTTAGCAAATCTTTACTTGGTTTTCCTAGCAAGGAAATAAATCGATTTCTGAAATGAAAACCCACACAACAAACTTAAATTGTCAATGTTGTTGTCAAAGTGTCACTGTCAATTGTCATCGTCAGCTGTTTTACTCACCTTGCGAAATGTTGATTCACTCATGGTGAGAAAATGACAAAGAGAGAGAGAGTGGGTGATGATATCAAAAGTCTCCTCTCGGCCACGATGGAATACTTGGGAATGTTTGACGCTGGAAGAAAAATACTGACAAAAAAATGGAATCCGGAGAGAAATTAGTAAAAATTCTACAAAAAATAAAAGCTGAACCAAGTCCAAGAAAGTTTAGGGGTATTTTGTAAGAATACGTTGGTTAACAGTCTTAATATGACACACGCCTCTGTGAATTTTTTTTTTTTTTTTTTTTTTTTTTTTTGTTTGTTTTTTTGTGGTGGTGGGGGTCTTTGATTTTTTTTCGTGTTAATTCCAGTAACTTAGAAAAATAAACAAAATAAACAGTCTGTTTGTAAAATGACGGAAAACGATCCGAGTGAAAGTCACGCTAAAAAAATTGGAAATTCTAATAATTATTTTTAAAAAATAAAAGTCATGAAACACATCTCTCGCCTTTTTGCCTGGCACTTTTAAAAGACAAGATGATAGGTGAGCAGGCAAACAACTTGGTGAATACGGCCGAACTGAGAACCAGGTATTAATGCAATGTGAATTCCTCACACCTGTCGCAGATCAAGGACGTCTCTCTGTGGCAGGAAGAGCGAAGGGTGAGAAAGGGTGGACACAACAACGGCAGCAGAGGTGAAGTAGATAGTAAAATTAGTGTCGGCCAAGGTGAAGTCTCTCACTCGACGGGGTTGCTACTGCGGTCAACATGGCCGATGGAAATTGTCGGCTAGAAAGACAAAAAGAGACATGTTT